AAATTAATCAGCACAGAAACTCCAAAGCACACAAAGAAGTTTTTTATATATAATTTTTTTTTTTTTTAGTCATAGTACCCCCAAGAATTTAAAACTACTTCACCCCTGAGTACACCTGCTGATGAACTATTCATATTAAAGTCTAAAATGATTACACAAAATTTTTAAGACTGCAGAATCTCATTTAGCAGCTCCTGAACAATAGATGTGAATTTGTAAATGGTTTTCCTGATCTTTATTGTGTTTAGTGATAAATCTTCAGTCGCTTCAAAATTCAACACTATTTATGTTCAGCGTCTAGTAAAGTTCTAATTTTTTGAATATTAACTATTTTCTGCTGCAGCATCTTTGAATAATGTATTTTTCCTATGATGAATAATCACTAAAACTTTGTGGTTTCCATTAGTATTTACCTCTTTATTCTCTAATACCTCTAAATAAAAAGCAGTCCCACCAACTGCCATCAGAAGTTACCTAATTGGTAAATGTGTGTAGTTTAAGCAGAGTTTTAATGCAGTTGTTCTGTTTGTCCCGGGTCTCAGTGGAAGCTGCTCGGTTCAGAAGAGAAACATAAATCTGGGTGACGGCAGTAGGAGCTCCTCGATCCCTCCTGCAATCGATGGTTTGATTCCCGCCTTGTCGTTTGTGTCTTTGGGCAACACATCTCAATCTTACTTCTGTCAGCCTGACACAGGGCAGCTGTAGTTACAGTTGTGGTGGAAAATTACTACAAGTTAACATCTGCTGATCATGTTATATGAAATGCTTGTGAACTCTCACCAAAAGAACTATGTGGGTTACATGTACAAGGTTGGAAGTTGTTTTCTACAGCTGCATCAGAGCCAGACTGTCTCACCCCTTGTTTTGAATTCCTTATCCTTGGTATAAAACTCATGTATTGACTCTGCCTGGCAGAGCTTTTCACCCAGACATGCTTCATTATTGATAGTCTTACAAGCCCTTTATATTGTGCACAATATATGAATAAACCTGATTGAGTGATTTCATCTAACAGTGCTTGGTAAAATAGTTTTTTTTCCACACCTCAGTCCATTAGCTTTCCATTATCAACTTGTGAAAGCCCTTTGAGATTTCAACTGGAGATATAAATGTCTTAATAAATGCAGTTTATTGAAATCACCATTACAAACCAATGACAGACCATGCTGCAAGAAAACATCCAATCTGAGCTGCAATGAAATGATACAGATCAAAGGATATCCATATGTTTTAATGGCCCAGTCAAAGTCCAGACCTGAATGCAGTTGAGCATTTGTAAAAAGACTGCATTGTTCTCAAAACTCAACTTCTAATCAAACTAAGCTTGAGCTTTTTTTTTTGGCGAAGAGTAAGTAAACATGATTTAATGTCCAAAGACAACAAGTTGGATGTTCTGGAGTGGCCTAATCAAAGCCCAGACCTCAATCCCATAGATATATAGTAGGTCTTGAAAGGGGCTTTTAAAATATTGACTAATACAGTTACATTTATCGTCATTTATAAGATTTAGATTTTGATACAGAATAAATCTGGAGTAAAAGACCCACCTAATGGACTAACAGTTTTAAAATGCTTATTTGACAATCTGCTCACTTATAACCATAACAAATATGACTTTTTAATGATCAAACATATTTTTGTGTAATTTGTTTCATAGAATAGCAGAAAGTGTCAAAACCTTCTTTCAGCCAGCTGTCTGGCAGTATCCAGCAATAGGTGAAGACCAAAACAGAAAAATGACTTTTCTTCAATCACACAAGAACAGAATCCAACATTAGGACAGGGCGAAATTAAAAGGTCAATAATAGTTTTAATTGATGCATGTTACATTCAAACCCATCACGTTCCTCCCACACATAACTGTAGACTTGCATACATTTTTTTCTCCATCGCCTCAGCTGAGGAACACTACAGACAACTTGTGAATGCCTTAGGCTATCATATATTTACAAATCTTCCACTTCTATACATAGCAAGTCCTTAAATACAGTCCAACAACAGAGGAGTAACAGGAACGTGTGACTGATTGTATGCAGTTTCTTCGAAGCATATTTCATGAACTTTCCTTCCAGAAAAGGCGTGTGCATACAGCACTGTCATAAAAAGTGAGTCACAATCAGACATGATAGGTTAAAAACTCCACAAAGCCTCTTCATTCATATTTCACAAGATAAAACTTCCTTCAGCAGGGATTTTCTTTCAAAATGCAAAAAAGTACAAAAAGACATGTAAGGTAACAAAAAATAGTTAAAATGTGCTCAGTGCATTAAGACTTTCCAATATATATCAAAAAGAAACTAAGAGGTGTTTTGCCCGGTTCCATCTCTGTGATAAATAAAAGTCACATTATTACAGGCAGACAGTCAGAGGGCATTAATCAAAACCAAGATACAGTGAAAAAATACGAGTGAAACGTAAAGCAAAAAATTTAAGGTTCAACGTACGTTTGTGTAGGCCAAACTTCAAACTTAACAGAAATTAGATTTTTTTTTAATGGTTTTCAAAGAAATACAGCTTAAATCAGCAAATCTGACCAAGTTTATACAGCATGGTGCAGAAATCTTAAGCCTTTACACACATAGGCTGACTCAAGATGTGTGCACTGTTCACCATCACACTGTGAGCTACGGCGAGCACTTTGGCCGGAGAAACCATCATACGGATGTTGTTTAGAAGAGACACACTGTGCAATGTTTCAGTTTGGTATCTGCAGTGGCTTCACACCTCAACCAGATCTGAGGTTAGTCTAAGCTTAGCCCTGCAAACATCAAGGCCAAACCCAGGAACTCTATCAGTAAACTTCAGCACTACTGAGAAACTAATGGCATTTTATTGACAGATTCTGAAGAAGGAAAAAAAAAAAAAAAAGAAATAATAAAAAAAAAGTGTAGCCTTGAGATTTCATTAATTTAAAGTGACAACTTTCAGTTTTTAGTGCCACGTTCAGAACTCTTAAAAGCTCCCTGACCTCATGTAGAGTCGACTGACTAGCTGAACGAGCAAAAAGAATCGGCTGCGCGTGCACGCGCACACACACACACACACACACACACACACACACACACACACACACACACACACACACACACACACACACACACACACACACACAGTACTGGCAGCTGTGTGACAGGAGAGCCATGCATGAAGCACAGAGGGCGTCAAAAATGACATTCGCACTCAGTAAAGCATCACAAGAAAATGGGAGAAAACTGACAGACAGACCAAAGGCCAAACATGAGGTTTGCACAAGGAAGACTGTAGCTGGCGCTAGCAAGAAATAATATGTGGATAGTTAGTGGTGAGATAAGATTATGGGTCAACCTTTGTCTTGCAAAAACACGGTCATGTCGATTTAACGTTTTTATCCTTGGCAAAAGTCCAAACAGAAATCTGTTTTGATTGATGATGAAAAACAGATTTGAGCACAATTTCATGTTACTAAACCCCATAAAATCATGTAGTAATCACAAAGGTGTAAAGAACGTTTTTTACAAGTTCAGAAAGGCCAACATTGTTAGTGACGTATTGCATTAAAGACCAAGCAAACCTTTACTTTGCTGCAAAGCCTGAACCTAAACACAAACAGAGACAGTGACTATTAGACTCTCCATCATTCAGAGCCAGGGTGAGCGGCTGGAATACAGAAATGTTGGTGTTTCTCCCTCACCTTGGCATGGTTTCTGACACTTTGATCTCAGAGTCAAAGGCAAACAGTGTTGATATATGTATTCATATAAATAACAAAATAGTACAGTATAAATATAAAGATTTTGTGTGTGTGTGTGTGTTTTTGTAGATAGATGTGTGACCGCAGCTGTATGTTGTGTAGAGGTTCAGGGTAAGAGTGTGTGTGTGAGCCAGTGTTAGGACAGGATAGAGGGAGCGGGGTTAGAGGTGAGGCTTTCCATCTCTGACCTCGTGGAAGAGGGAGGTGTAGAACTCAGGCTCCAGTTGTTTGTTGCGGTAGCGCTGCACAATTTCAGTGATTTTCTGTTTTCGCCTTACATGTGGCGGGTTGTACAAGTCGCTCTCCAGGCGCTTCCGTCGGCATACGTTGATCACTGTCTGACGGACGAGAAACCCTGAAAGGCAGACCCAAAGGAAAGAAAAACTAATTCACAATTTTGTCGCATCAAAATTCTATTTTTCCATTAGTTTTTAAAGTTTTCTGCACATCTGAGGAAACTAGACACCACAGCAGCTCAGGTGGGACAAATGCCATTGAAAGACTTAAAATCCAACTTTTAAAGTGAAATATATCCACAAATTTATGTCATCAATGTTAAAGGGGACCTATTATTTTTACTTCTTATACTTCCATTTGGGTCTCAACTGCTTCCAAAAACAAACAANTCAATATAAATTTTATAAATTTATTATAAATTTATTGATTTAATCTCTGCTTAATCTCATATTACACAGTGCAGAAGCTCAATCAGCACCAATTAAGATTTACTCACTTCTGAATTCTTAAAGTTGATCCACTTTCTGCTTGATTTAGTTGATCCTTTTTTGAATGTTTGGTGGAACTCATAGAGCATAAAACTCTGAACTAAAGTTGCTGAGTTTACTCCTGTGTGGAACATATTTACAATTTTTAACATGGAGTTGAGAAAACTGTCATTTTTCCATCCTTTTTGTCACGATCCATAGTTTTCTGTGTTTATTTTTGAGTTTTTTCTGCGTTTATAATCCTGTTCCCTGTGAGTCTGTCTCTGCGTCTTCACCGTTGATTGTTTCCCAGGTGTGTCTCATCCCCTTGATTACCCTCCCAGTGTATTTAGTCCCACCTGTTGTCTTTGTCTCTTGTTGGATCTTTGTCGTAAGTCAGTTGTTGTGTGTCGGCTCTCCAGTAGAACTGAGAAGTCCTGGTCTGCCCAGCTCTAGTTTCAGTCTTCAGTTTGTCAGTAGCTACCGGCAACTAGCTGTGTGCTATGTCCTCTGCCGTGCCGCCTGTATTGGACTGAGTGAGCGTTATCATTAAATTCATCATTTCCTTTACACCTGGGTCTCTGCGTCAATCCTCACCACCATCACCAACCACTTCATGACACTTTTTTGTGATCCACTCTGCTAGGACCATGGAGCTGGTGGTGAATGTCTGCAGGTGCTGACCACGTCACTACCTGCATTTCCAAAGCTTTATCAATGTTCAGCTAATGTAAAGAAAACACAATTCTGCAATTGCAGTGTTTCCATTAGATAAGAAACAATTAAAATCACACATGAATAACTTAGTAATACTGCACTGTAATCTGCCAAATACTTCCTTCTTCTTTGTGGTTTGTGTCAGCAACATCTGGTTGTTGATCATGTGATTACTGTGACATGAAAATGTTTTCATTGCAGTTTAGATAAACACATTTTGATGCTGCCAAAAAGACAACAAAACAATAAAACTCATTTCATTCAAAACTTATCAAAAAACAAGATTTTTTTTTTCAATCTACATTTTTCATTTATTTTTGAAAGGTCAAATTTAGTTTTGTACAGCTGAATGGTTGCCGTGGTGATTGAAGGATTTCTCAAACATGCTTGAAAGAATCAAGGCAGCACTGCAGGTCTGTTTCTGATGAGGTAATATAACATGATGTAAAGCTCAGGAGAGTTTAAAGTTCAACACACACATGCACAGTATGAACATTTTTTTGAAAAAGTGATTTGACTCAGTTACACATCACTTTAAGTCCAATATTCCTATTTCTTATAATTGCTCTGTATTTTTCATATTATAGTTTTTATAGTATGTTATTATTACTACTAACAGTTTTGTTGTTGTTACTCTTGTTTTTTAGATATTGTTTTAACACTAAGAACTTTTAACATCTTATGCTGCTGAACTTCCCCATTATGAGACAATAAAGATGTTTCTATTCTATTCTCAGCATGTTTTTCACTAGAGGTCAGCCAGTGTGTAGCAGTTGTGGCAGAGGTCAAACATATATCAGTGTGGGATCAGTAAAGGCTTTTCCAATATCAGTTCAGTTTGGATTATTAAGGCGGCTGCTGAACAAAGTGACCTGCTGTCGGTGGCATCCTCGTTTTTAGCATCACAGCACAGATGGTTCTTCTCATCTGAGCGTTTGTATGTGTATGCTGACATGTGGGTGGAAGATAAACTAACGTGTCAACCAACAGGCTGGTTGGCCTATTTGTGCACCCTGGCCTTACAGCTAGAGTGAGATTTCCTCCTCCAGTTCCTCTGCTGTCCCACTTACAAATTCCTGCAAGTCTCCCAGCTGAATAAACAGCAATCATCTCCGATGGAGCAAACATATCTGCACAAAGAAAGCCTTTATTTTGTTTGGTCGGAGTTAGTTATCGCCAGAGAGAAGAAGACTTTAATTAAGTAATCAATGTGTGCACTGCGCTGTGGAGTGCACTTCACTCCGTGGGCATGCAGCGCATTGCAAGGAAGTGGATCTGACAAAAAAAACAACTATGACAGCAAGAAAACTCTCCTCCCAGAACTCCTTTGTTTCTCTCAATCATGTAGTTGGAAAATGCAATCGCTCAATAAGCCGTCTTCATGACTGAGGAGTCAAGGTTTTCTGTTTCCTTTGCAACGTCAAAACATGTCCTGCTCCTATAGCTGAGGGAACATTAGAAAGAAAAAGTGCAATAAAAGTAAACACGTACTAAAAGGAAAAGATGGCCAGCCTTGGTGCTGAACTCTGCTGACGTGCAAAAAGAAAGAGAAATCAGTTTTTTAAAGGGACAGTGTTTGTGTTTTCCAGCCACATGACATTTTAAAGTTCAGTCATGCAACTATGTTACCTTCAGTTGTTATAAAAATGCTGCATATCAAATATGACTTAAAAAGAAATTTGACTTCTTTAACACCTTGAAGTTTGGTCTCTGTCACTTTAAGAAGCTTCTGGTCTTTCATCACATGTTTCCTCTGTTAACCCTTTAAAGCAGTGGTTTCCAAACTTTTTCTGGGCCCCCCTATGGATTACAAATAGCTGTCTGGTTGAACGACATGGGTGTGTGTGGGGGGGGGGGGATAGGATTCTTAGAGACATAGATTTTGACATAGACAACAAAATCTGTAGCCTACAGGCTACTTGTTAAGCTTAAGGTTCTGTATTGATATTAGCTAGTAATCATTTAGCTAACATTACCTGCATCCAACAGCTTCACTCAACTCAGTCGGTTAGTTTGGAGGGAAAAACTGAAAAGTTATTTGCGTTTTGCTGGTTTGC